TCAGTAAGACAGCAACCGAGCAAGCCTGATTTCCATATCCTTGCATTTGCGCTAATGTTTCTTGCTCGTTGCCCAAGGAAACCCATTTCAGCTTTCTGACACCCACCGTTGTAAGACAATAAATTTGTGCTGTTTTAAAGCTGCTCTGTGTGTGGAGATTTATTACAGCAGCCCTGGGGAAATAATGGACAGGGACAGGATCCTGTCTTGGGGACAGTGTTACTTCTGCCCTGAGCAAACCTTTTCTGCGTTGGTGGCTGATCAGCTAAAAGGATGCCAGCCTGCGACTTTGTTTATAGCTCACGGAATGGGTGTGTGTGTGTGTGTGTGTGTGTGTGTGTGTGAGAGAGAGAGAGAGAGAGAGAGAGAGAGAGAGAGAGAGAGAGTGTTTGGCTCAGGCCTTACTTCCATTCTAACCTGGCAGTGTGCTGGTGGGGCAAAACCCACCTACCTGAAAGTCGTTGGCTGTCACTACGTCTACCAAAAATGATGGCCATGACTGATTTGGTGCAGCCTTGTTTGAATCACCCCTGTCCTTGCACTCACTCTTGCTCAGGCTTCATTAGGTCTGCTCTGGCCTGAACTGGAGCCAACCAGACCAACTAGGAGGGTCCAAACTGAGGCTCAGACTGTTCCTAGCTGGGGATGGGGTGGCCTCTGCATAGGCTGCTGCTACGGTGACCCAGCTCTTCCTACCTCAGTCTACACCAGAAGGTTGGCTACATCACACGTGCACGCTTCACCTCTCTGACCTTCGGTCTCTTCTTCTGTAAAAAGAGCACACTGATAGCACAGGGCTGTCTTGGGGACTCACTGAATCAACACGCTCGGCACAAGGTCTGGCACACAGAGGTGCCGTGTGAGTGACGACTGTCAAAACGATCATGTCCCACACTCATGGCCCTCCATGCTGCCAGCTCTTTCTTCTACTTGGGTCTCTGCCCACCCTGCCCTTCTAGACAATCTGTCGAAAGCTTTTATACTCTCTTTATAACTATATATATGTATATATAGTTAATGAGCAGGTTTATGCTCCTACTCAGACACCCTCAGGGTCTCCCCATGACTCAATCAATAAAGTCAACACTGTTTTTGGCTTTCAGGGTCCTCTATAACTTGGCTGGGCCTGACTCTTCAAGCTCCACAGCCAGCTCGAGCCTACACAGGGCTTCCTCCACCCCTGGTATACTTTGGCCAGGCCCATCTCTGCATTGTCACTCACTGCCTCCCTTTGTCTACAAATGGCCTTCCTTCTTGGACTGAGTCCAAGAACCTTGCCTATGTTGCCAAGACTGCCTCCTCCAAGAAGCCCTCCTAGGTTTCTCCTGCCTACTGAACTCTTGTAGGATTTGGTGGAGGCACTTAACAACATACCAGTTCATTCAGCAACCCAGTACCGGTGTCACTGAAGATCCAGAAATGAACCCAACAGAGCCCCACTCTTAAGGAGTTCAAGATAGTGTGTTATTAGTGATGGGGACACAGACACACTGGGGTGGTCTCCAGGTCTGGTATCTGATGTCCGGAACAGTCCTTGTGGGTGGGGCAGGGTTTGGGGAACAGGTCACTGAGAGTAACTGCGTACAGGGTCAGGGGGTAGCTGAAGACATTTCGGGTACAGCAACCGCTCCTGTTAGATGATGAAAATTCCTGCACTGTAGAAGTCGTCTTGTGTTTGTGCTGAAAACGCATTGCCTAAAATGTGACAGCCAGACTGCTTATGTTTAAACAGAGAAATCTACTGAAAGAAGAGCAGAGAGTGAAGCACACCAAATAATGGAATACTACCCACCAGTTAAAAGGACGGGTAACTCTAAACTCGCCAGGAATGAACGTCCAAAAAACTGATGTGTATAGATTGCAACCACTTACATGCTTAAGAAGGACACACACGCATATCGTATGTACATAAAACACATGTGGAAGGATATGCAAAAAAAAAAAAAAAAAAAA